CATCCATCCATCCATCCATCCATCCATCCACCCACCCATCCATCCATCCATTCATCCATCCACACAGCCATCCATCTATCCACCCACACATCCACACAGCCATCCATCCACATATCCATCCATCCACACATTCACACATCCATCCATCCACACATTCACACATCCATTCATCCATCCACACATCCATTCATCCATCCACACATCCACACAGCCATCCATCCATCCACCCACACATCCACCCACACATCCATACACCCATCCCCCCATCCACCCAGCCATCCATCCATCCACCCACACATCCACCCACACATCCATCCATCCACACATCCATTCATCCATCCACACATCCATCCATCCACACATCCACACAGCCATCCATCCATCCACCCACACATCCATCCACACATCCACACATCCATTCATCCATCCACACATACACACACATCCATCCATCCACCCCCACATCCATCCATCCATCCATCCACCCACACACACATCCATCCATCCACACACACACACACACACATCCATCCATCCATCCACACATTCATCCACCCATCATTCATTCATCCATCCATTATATATCATCCATCCATCCAACCACACGTCTATCCATCATCCATCCATCCATCTATTCATCCATCATCTATCCATCCATTCATCCATTATATATCCATCCATCCATCCATCCACCCACATGTACATCCATCCATTTTCTGTGTTTTATCAAACAGATTGCATTTAAGCAGCGTTTGCTATTTGTATTTGTTTACTCAGAAGCTCTGTTCATTACGGCAGCAGTGAAGTCAAAACTGCAGCTCGACTCTTTCAAATGAAACCGCAATTAAAATGTGTGATTGGTGCAATTAGCTGAACATTACCCCAGACTCACTGATAATTGAATTAAGAGGGGTTTAGGTTAATCAGACACGGATGAATTATTTCACAAAGGTTAATAGAATCAATAACTTTTGTTGGGGAATCATTTAGTCATTCGCTAATCGCCTACATGATGTTCAGCTGTAAATCCGGTGAAAGCCAGCAGATCCTCCAACGGAAGAAGGTCAAACTCCTGAAATCTAAATAAACCTGGTTTCTGGGGCGAGAAATTTAATTATGTTTTAATAAAATAATCGGGGGGGGAAAAAAAATCGAAAAAGAAATAAATTCATGAAAAATATATCATTAAAAAAAAGAAACCTATATTTATGTTTATATGCACAGTATATATATATATATATATATATAT